CCAAAGATAGAGCTGTGCCATATGATCCAGCCGTCCCACTACTGGGCATTCTTCCAGAGGGAGAGAAATCAGGGTATCAAAGAGGCATCTGCACCCCCACGTTCCCTGCAGCAACGCTCACAGTCGCCGAGATCCGGAAACCGCGCCAGCGTCCACGGGCGGATGAATGGATAAAGGAGGCGCCGTACGCACGCACAATGGAATAGTATTCAGCCATAAAACAGAATGAAGCCCTGCCACTTGCAGCGGCATGAATGGGACTGGAGGACGTGGCGGTACATGGGATGCGCCAGGCGCAGAAAGTTAAACAACACATGTTCTCACTCCTCATACGCAGAAGCTAAAAAAAGTTGAGCTCATAGAAGCGGAAAGTAGAACGGAGGAGACTGGAGCCTGGGAGGGCTGTGGGGGGTGGCGAGGGAATGATGTGTTAAAGGATACAGATTACAGCCAGTTGGAGGAGTAAGTGCTAGCGCCCGCATCTCTGCAGGATGACTCCAGTAACGGTGATACATGGTTTCAGGTAGCTGGGAGGGGAGCGAATGTGCCCAGGACAAAGAAAGCCACGTTTGGGATGAGGGACATGCTAATTACCCTGATCTGATCACTAGGCGCCGTAGCGAAACATCAGTCTCGCCCACAAACGTTACGATTATGTATCCATTAAAAATTGAAAAGAAAGGCCTGTCTTGAAAGGATGCAGCTGGAAAAAAAAGATTAAAAAAAAAAGAAAGGCCCAACCCAGATGACATGAGCCGGGGGCAGGTGAGCCTCTTGAACGATCACAGGGGATGCCAGCACTAAGTAGAAACGTCACCGTGACGGTCTGCTCTGCCTCTCTCTGCCACCTGCCCTGCTGGCTCCAGCTGGCCGGGAATCTGCTGTGCTGGGCTGTGTGACCCTGCTGAGGCCACCGGTCCCGTGACGTGGAGGGTGTGGGAAACAAGGAGAGGATTGGGAGGGAGACCATGGAGTGCCACCAAGGCAGGACAGCTTGCAACGATAATGTCACACGGCGTGACAGCTGGAGTATTTGCAGGAACCCGATGAAATCTGGGCCCGACCGTGACCCTAAGATACGGGGGACCCTCCTCACTACCGGGGGCTCTGTAACAGGAGGAAGATCACGCCATCCGTCTGCCCACTGTCACGTGGCTGCGGGGTGTCCAGTGGCAACCACAGCCGGGCATCTGACACCAGGCGATGGGGTCCAGGCTGCTCCCACGAGACACAGGGGGAAGGGACCAGGGGGTCATTCCTAAGCTTCCGACGCAGAGTGGATTGTTAAGTCCGGAAGGAGTGTGTTGACATGGTGACAGGAGAGCTTCGGGGGCACACGGGCTCTCCCTGCCTTTTGGGCAAAGCTTTAGATGGATGCGCCCCACACTCAGCTCTCCCGGGCCCTCGCCCAGCGCCGTCTCCTCTGGGGGTTCTCCTGGTGTTTTCACCTTCCATCCTCAGATGCCCCCGAGGGCCAAGGACCAGCCTGGCCCTGCCCGGGCGGAAACCACATCCGTCTGGAGGAAGGGGGTAGAGCAGGCCCAAGGCGAGCAGCTGGGGCGGGTTCAGCCCCTCGGCACAGCTGGCTCCGGGCAGGGAGTGAAGGACTCCGTGGTGGCCTTCGCCTGTGAAACCCAGTTCTGGAAAGCAGGGACGCGAGACCCAGGCAGATAGAGATACAGATATCAGTCGCCAAGGGCTTTTCGTGCACAGAGACCCGATTCACCTCTTCCCTTAGTACGAGCGCTCCTCGGGGGAGAGAGGCGGGCCTTCCGTCCTGCCGGTGTGGAAGGGGAGCGGGCCAGGACTTGCCAAGGTCACGGCAGAGTGGCGGTGCCAGGAACCTGGGCTCTCTCGATCCTGGCTCGAGTCTCTGGAAACGGGATTAGAGGGATTAGATTTCACGGCGTCGGTCTTTCCGAGGCCCGGTTCCCTGGGCCAGGAGGCCTGCTGCCCTTGCACAGGCGAGACGACGGGTATGTTTCGTCTTAACGTGAGCGGTTTACGGGCTCGGAAGGGCATTTTGGCAGTGACGGGCTTTAAAAATAAGTCTTTTCTTTGATCAGGCAACTGCATCTGAGGACTTTTCTGAGGGAGGCAATTCTGGACGTAACGAAGACGTTGGGTCCCCAGGATGCACCTGTCGGTCTCGCTTATCTCGGGGAAACGTTGGAAGGAAACACCTCCGCAGGCGGCAGCAGGGGCGTGGTTGATAAATCACGGCAGGAGGTGTTCTCCGGGCATCACACGGTGCAGGATTTTTTAGAATTGAAATGTAGAGAATCTGGAAGACATAGCATACTGAGTTATGGGAATTGTTCTAAGAAGGTAGATTGGTTACTGGTGAAACCTGAATATGATCAATCATAAGTAAAACATTTCTTGAGTCCATTCATCTGTAAAGATAATCAGAAGCTTTTGATTATTCTATACCAGATTATGTGCACAATTGTTTCAATATATGTTTTTTTTTTTCTAAAAAATATGGTTTTTTTTTACTAAAAAAAAAAATGTGGAGAATCTGATGCAGGAGGGGAAATCAGACTGTGTTTTGCAAGTGTATTTCCTAAGTCTTTGAACATGAACTTGGACTATACAGGCATACCGTGTCTTACTGCACTTCTCAGATACCTCGGTTTTTTTTTGTTTGTTTTTTTTTTTGAGACAGAGTCTCGCTTTGTTGCCCAGGCTAGAGTGAGTGCCATGGCGTCAGCCTAGCTCATAGCAACCTCAAACTCCTGGCTCAAGCGATCCTCCTGCCTCAGCCTCCCGAGTAGCTGGGACTACAGGCATTTGCCACCATGCCCGGCTAATTTTTTGTATATATATTAGTTGGCCAATTAATTTCTTTCTATTTATAGTAGAAACGGGGTCTCGCTCTTGCTCAGGCTGGTTTCGAACTCCTGACCTCGAGCAATCCGCCCGCCTCGGCCTCCCAGAGAGCTAGGATTACAGGCGTGAGCCACCACGCGGTGGCTCAGGCCGGGCGCGGTGGCTCACGCCTGTAATCCTAGCTCTCTGGGATACCTCGGTTTTTACGCATCGAAGGTCACGGCAGCCCTGCATCCAGGAAATCTGTCTGCACTGTTTTACCAGCACATGCGTCCACATCACGGCTCTGTGTCGCGTGTTGGGAATCCTTGAGATAGTTCAACCTTTGTCGTTATGCCGGTTATGGTGATCCGTGATCGGTGGCCTTTGATGTTACCACGGTGACCAGGAACCGTCCCCACGTGGGACGGCAAATTCAACGGGTTAATGTCGTGTGTGTTTTGACCACTCCATAAATGGCCAGCCCAGCCCCGTTCCCACCCCCAGCCCCGTCTCCCCCTCCCCTCGGCCTCCCTATTTCCTGAGATGAAACAATATTGAAATCAGGCCAGTGCATAACCCTCCACTGGCCTCTAAGTGTTCACGTGAAAGAAAGGGTCACTTGTCTCTCACTTTAAATCAAAAGCCCGGAGCGATTGAGCGTAGGGAGGAAGGCATGTCGAAAGCAGAGATGGGTCAAAAGCCAGGCCTCTCGGGCCAAACGGTGAGCCAAGTCGTGAACGCGAAGGGAAAGTTCTGGAAGGAAGTGAAAAGTGCTACTCCAGCAACACGTGAACGATACAGCAAAACAGCCTTCTTGCTGAGGCAGAGAAAGTTTTAGTCAGCTGAATAAAAGATCAAAGCGGCCACAGCATTCCCTGGAGCCAAAGCCTAATTCGCAGCGAGGCCCTCGGACTTCTTCAGTTCCGTGAAGGCCCAGAGAGGAGAGGGGGCTACAGAGGAAAAGCTGGAAGCTAGCAGAGTTGGCTCGGGAGATCTAAGGACAGAAGCCGTCTTCGTTACGTAGAAGTTCAAGGTGGGGCAGCAGGTGCGGATATAGGAGCTGGAGCAGGTTGTCTAGCAAGCAGCAGAAGGTCTAGCTGAGACCACAGAGGAAGGTGGCTACACTACACAACCAGGTTTTCATTGTAGACAAAACAGCTTTCTATTGGAAGAAGCAGCCGCCTAGGACTTTCATAGCTAGAGAGGAAAGGTCAACACCTGGCTTCAAAGGACAGGCTGACATGACACTCTTTTGGGGGGGTTAATGTGGCTGGTGACTTGCAGTTGAAGCCAGTGCTCATTTAGCATTCCGAAAATCCTAGGTTTCTTAAGCCTTATGCTAAGTCCACTCGGCCTGTGCTCTGTAAATGGAACAGCAAAACCTGGATGACAGGCATGTGCTTACAACATGGTTTACTGAATATTTTAAGCCCACTGGTTGAGACCCACTGCTCAGATAAAAAGATTCCTTTCAAAACATTACTGCTCATTGACAATGCACCTGGTCTCACCCATGAGCTCTGATGGCTGAGGAGTTGCTTCTTATGGATAGAAAACAAAAAAAAAAAGAAAGAAAGAAAGAAAGCATGCCTGTAGTCCCAGCTACTCGGGAGGCTGAGCAGGGGGATTGCTTGAACCCAGGAGTTGAAGGTTGCAGTGAGCAAGGCTGATGCCACAGCACTCTACCCAGGGAGACAGAGCGAGACTCTGTCTCAAAAGAAAAAGAAAAGAAATGTATATATTTTTAAGATATAATGTTATCACGTACTTAATAGACTACAGTGTGGTGTAAATACAACTTTTTTTGTTTTTTTTTTGAGACAGAGTCTCGCTTTGTTGGCCAGGCTAGAGTGAGTGCCGTGGCATCAGCCTAGCTCACAGCAACCTCAGACTCCTGGGCTCAAGCAATCCTCCTGCCTCAGCCTCCCGAGTAGCTGGGACTACAGGCATGCGCCACCATGCCCGGCTAATTTTTTCTACATATATTAGTTAGCCAATTAATTTCTTTCTATTTTTAGTAGAGACTCGCTCTTATTCAGAGGGGTCTCGCTCTTATTCAGGCTAGTTTCAAATTCCTGACCTCGAGCAATCCACCCGCCTGGGCCTCCCAGAATGCTAGGATTACAGGCGTGAGCCACCGCACCCAGCCTGAATACAATTTCTATATGCACTGGGAAACCAGATAATTCATGTGACTCGCTTTATTGTGGTGGTCTGGAACCAAACCCGCAATATCTCCAAGGTATATCCCTCTACGTGTGATTTTTAACACCAGCGTTTGCTAAGTGTGGGTGTAATTGTGGTCAACAATAGTAAGGGCCCATTCAAGGCTGGGTTGACCTTATGCTTGTGGTGAGTCGCGTGCGGGAGGGATCTCTTAGTGGATTAATCCAGGTGGCTCCCTAGGGCTTGCCCAGGCAGTGTGTCAGGGGAGCCCAGGCTTGGGAGAAACGTCCTCAGTCCAGAGAAGACCCGGAGAGCGTGGTAGTGGAGCAGTGCTGGACATTCCAGAAGGACCCTCAGAGGCCCTCTGTGCTGTGGATTGGGGCCACCATGTTTTTTTGTCTTCACTGGGACTTTTCCCCTGCTTTAGGGTGGGTGTCAGGACCACTGCCAAGAGGAAAAAGGGTTTGGGGTTATTTTCTGGGGAGGGAGAGGTGGACCCAAGACTATCTGTAGGGTAGCATTAGGGTTCTCTGGAGAAACAGAACCAATAGGGGATGTATGGATACATCAGATGGGATTTATGGGGATCGGCTCATGCGTTTATGAGGCTGGGAGAAGCCCCAGGAGCTGTTGTCTGCAAACTGCAGAAGCGGGGACACAGGGGTGTAATTCAGTCTGACTCCAGAGGCCCAGGAACCCGGAGCTCCGATGTCCGAGGGCAGAAGGGGGTTATCTTAGGTCCAGCGGAGGGAGGGAGGGAGAGAGAGAGAGAACGTGTCCTTCCTCCACCTTTCGTTCTACCTGGGCCTTCAGCAGGTTGGCGGGTGCCCTCGTGCCTTGGTGAGGGCGGGTCTCTGCTCGGCCCTCCCCTGCAAAGGCTCATCTCCCCCAGAGACGCCCTCACAGGCCCCCCTACAGGTAACGTCTCACCAGCTACCTGGGCGCCCCTTAGCCCAGTCGAGCTGACGCACATAATATTAACCATCGCAGGGGCTGGGGGGATGGACCCCGCGGTGGGTGGGTGGGGTGTTGGGCTGTGGCTGAGACGTTCCCCCAGGAGAGCCCCTGCCCTCCCCGAGAGGCGGCACCAGACGACCTCTCCGGGGGTCGGCCCCAGCCAGAGTTTCAGTTGTTTCAGTTCAGCCCCCCTGGGCCCCAGTCCTCCCTGACACCCCTCCCCACCCCGCAGCCAGATTCCCGCTGTGTCCTTAGGAAACGAGCCCCTGGGACTGGGCTGCGCTGACTCTGGGGGACTCAGATCACGCCCTCCCAGCCGAGTTTCCCCGCCGTCAGATTCTCGGGGGGAACCGTTACCCCGGGAAGCGAAGTCGCGTGTGTCTGATCTTGCGTGCGTGCGGGTGGGTAGGTGGGTGACAGAGGGAACCGGCCGGGGCTCTTCCTTCCCCCGCCTCCAGTGGGGTTGTGACGCCAGTGGCACCAAGAGCGCCTGGAGGCGGGACGGGCGCTGTCCCTACAGGAGAAGGGGCGCGCGATGTCGGGGAGCCCTGACCTTGAAGTGCGCCTCCTTAACCGCCCCACAGCTCCCAGAGAAGAGCGACACCCCGCAAGGTCTCCCTGCTGCCGTCCAGGCAGACCAGGACGTCCTCCGCGCCGTGTGGCCCTGAGGATTTTCACGTCCCTCCATAGACACCTCCTTAAACCGGCCTGAACAGGCGCCGTCCGGAGCCCCCCGTGGGCCGGGCCTCTCCCCGCGTCTCCCCTGCGGCTGCGTGGGCCAAATCTCTGGGACTGGGCCTTTCACCCGCATGCTTGCCCCTGCCCCGGCTGGCTGGTGGCTGTCCCCGACCTCACCCCTGCTGTGACGTCACAGCACAACAGCTCTGCTGTTCCCATGGCAACAGCCTGCCGGGGTCAAGCAGCTGGGGGCAGAGGCTGGGCTGCAGGTGGAGGCGGGAGCTGCAATTCCAGCCAGCTTTGGTCAGTGGGCCTGAGACCCCACACAGACCCCTCGGGCTGAGGTTCCGTGTCTGCCCCATCCGTTGTAAGGCGGGGTGCTCCGTGTCCCCAGCTAGTGGCCAGGCTCCGGAGAGGGCCTTGGGGTGTGGGCCGATGGCAGGCTCCAGGTCACGTGTCTGGAAGTCCCTGCGCCCCGGGGGGGTGGGGGTCCCCGCAGACAGTTTGGTCTGGAAGGATGAGGTTGCTGGGGGCCTGGGTTGAAGAGGGACGGGGTGGCTAGAAGGAGCTGAGCTGTCACCATGATGCAAGAACAGCCGCTGGTACCGGGCACCCCCGGCCTAGGCGGGGTGCGCGGAACCCCGAGGGGAAGTGGGTGGTTGGCGTTGCCGGGCTGTGTCTGGTGAGACACCAGTCGGATCGGCCACGAACCAGCCCTCGGGCCGCTGGCACCTCGGCCGTTGGTTGGTCTGGAGGGGTGGGTCTGCCTCCGTGACCGTCCTGGTGACACCGGACTGGCCTGTCCCCCCAAGGCTGGCTGCCCAGCTGTCTCGGCCTCCCAGAGCCGCCCAGCCCCGGCTGTGCTCCGGGGAGGGGGTACATGTCAGATCCTCAAGCCCACCCCCGGGGTTCGGGTGAAAAGACCTGCTGTGGGCCTGGCCGGGATGCGTGTTCTCCCACCACCCTGCCCCTGCCCCGGGGGTTCCGGCACGGCCAGTCCTGCGCCCAACCCAGCGGCTTCAGCAGCCATCCTCCGGGGCCTAGCTGACGGGGAAGGGGCAAATCCGAGGCTCTAGGAGGCACACTGGATGCCCCGGGGTGTGTTTTTAGAGGTTAGCATGTAGAGAAACGAGGTAAGAAGTGTTTTTGATGTTTGTCTTATCTGGACTTGCTTGGATGCCTCTAGTGATGGGTGTCTCACTATCTACCACGTCAGCCCAATGATATCAAGAGAGCCCTGTAGACAGCGCTTGCTTCCACCTGGCCTCACCTCCCTGCCTCCCTGTAATGTGTTCTCGGTGTGATAGATCAGTCATCTGGAGACACGCACAGTAAGTACCACCCTCTTCCCCATAGTGCTCACTAAGCACTAGGGCGCTTCTCATGGCCATGAGCGCTAGCATCATAAACATTCCCATTTCACAGATGAGCAGACTGAGGCACCAGAGCTGAGCAGCTTGCCCCGGGAAGACGTCTCCGTCATCCCGAGACGCTCCCTGGTCAGGTCGGAATTGGGCCCCGTGCGTGTCTGAGCAGATTTGTTCCTGATCGCTGCGGCGGTCTCGTTGGGACTTTAAGGCTTTCGTCCGGCGGCATTGTCAAGTCGGCTGCGCCTAGAGAGCAGATGTGACTGCTCTTAGCCGTTTAGCGTCACTGAGACCTGTGTCTGCCGTCGGCCCCTCCGTGTCTTTGCATCTCTGCGGCACCCCGGCGCCTGCCTGCGAGCCGGGTGCCATTGCCGGTCCTCCCCTCGGGCCATCTCGTCGGGTGCCTCGGCGTCCTGCAGGGCAGGAACAGGACAGGTGCCTGCGGATGGCGTCAGCATGCCCGCAACCCCCCCACCCCGAGTCTCACACCTCTTCCCGCCGGGCCCAGGGACGTCCAGGTGACGTCCAGCCGGGCTTGTTCTAGGCCTTTCTGTGAACCTCCTGCTCCGTGTCCTCCTGCTTCTGTGTCCTCCTGCTCCAGCTTGCGTGGTGGGATGTGGGGACCCACAGGCGAGTTCCGGAAGTGCTCCCGTTACGTTTTATCTTGTTAGAATAGGCGAGGTAGCAGGCTGCTAGAACCTTCTGGGCCAGAGCCTCGCTGTGGGTTTTGTCTCCCCCGTAGGTCATCGATGTCCCGTGGGCGGCCACGTGTGAGGCCACGTCTTAGGACTGATAAGCTTAGACATGAAAGCTCAGCTACTTGACCCTTCCGAGCCCGTCACCATCACTGTCTCAGACTCTACTTACTCTTTCTGTAGACACAGTTTAATGAGCTTATCCGAGAGGGTTGCCACTCCGGGGCTGCCGCCACATGCGGAAAGCTACGACCAGGGAGGAGGACACAGGAAGCTATATATAGGTGACTTAGAAACCTCAAATTGCATTCTGGGGTCACTTGGTTTAGGAGAACTCTGTTCCATACGTTTTAAAAGCCCTTGAGGGCTCCCCTGTCTCATCAATCCCCCGGCAGTCCAGAGTTTTCCAAAGGAAAAAAGAGGTCAAATTATATATTCTGCATTACTCTGAGAAGGTGAGGAGTGTCGAGCTTCACATATGAAAGAGTGAGCTTTAATTACACGGAAACGTCGTCTCTCTGGCCGATGCCAGCTAACGGGAGCCCTGCTATAGCTATTTTTATAATGTATGTTTCAAAGAAAAAGCGCTCAACCATCGGCCGCGGCTCTGGGCTCTTAGTGAAAGGGGAAGAGTTCTTCTCGTTGCCTGGGAGGTCGGGGCATCCTCGGGGAGGGGAACCGGACCCGGGCCGGGGACACGTGGTAGGATGGGGGCGTGTCCGTGTCATGAGGATCCCGCATGAGCACAGCCGTGGCGCTGGGCCTGGGTGTGGGGCGTTTGGGGACAGGGCGGGCCGGGGAGCCGGGTGGGTAGCTGCTTGAGTGTTCCAGAACCTTGGGCCAGAGTTTGCCTGACTTTGGCGGTGTGGGGAGTGCTGGGGGGTCAGCCCAGGCGGGGCCCAGGAGTCTGCACCTTGACTAGCAGCTTGGGTAGCTGTGACGCAGGGGCCTGGGGACTGCCTGGGAGACTTGCCCAGGGCCACGGGGCCCCACTGGCTGTAGCTGGTATGGGAGGACCAGGGGGTGCAGCAGGCACGGGGTGGGGGCTAGAGACACTGATTAGGAGGCTTTGAAGAGGCTCAGGTGGGAGATGACCGGGGCCCAGGTGAGAGATGACCGGGGCCCAGCCACCATCACGGCCGGAGACCAGAGCAAGGCCTTGGCAGAGACGAGTTTGCTGGGCCTCGCCGCTCGTGTGGTCCCCGGGGCTCCTTCGGGATTTGCAGAGTCTCGGGCCCCACCCAGACTCGCTGGATCTTAGCTGAGCTTTGACGAGATTCGGGAAGCGCCGCGCTGGATCTCGCCCGTGGGTGTGTGTCAAGGAATAAAATACTTGGGTGGAAAGGAGGAGGGCCCGCTGATGGACTCAGAGCCACCGCGGTGTCCCAGGTAGACACACACAGAAAGCACAAAGTTTGTCCCAGGCCTTAGCATCCATGGAAACTCAGACGCCTCCCGCCCGGGGTCACAGCAAGTCAGCTGTCAGGGGGCGCCCGGCACAGCCCAGGACAGGTCACCTGGCTTCCAGCTCTGACCTCCCTCCGTGGCAGGTTGGGATCCTGGGATCAGAGGTCAGCCTGCTTGCTGCGCCGCTGGTGAGCTGTGTGGCCTTAGGCGAGTCACTTAACCTCTCTGGGTCTCAGTTTCCTCATCAGCACGTGGGGATAGGAGCAGACCTCACCTCCTGCGGCGCGATCAGGAGATGGCGTGGGAAGGTGCGTGGAAAGTGCCAGAACAGCGTGAAATCACATGGACAGGTCCAGCGTCGGAGGGAGGGAGATGGTTCTCGCCCTGCTGTTGTCCCCGGGGACGGCCGGGCTGACGGTTGTCCCCCGTGTCTGGGCGCAGTGCGCTCTCTTAGGGATGCGGCGTCTGCTGCCTTGACTTTTGGGCGTCCACGTGTACGGGCTCAGTGTCACGCGAGGGTCACCCACGGCGGGCGAGTTTCACCCCGTGCCAGTGCCGGTGCCTGTCACAGCAAACCCCAGCGGCGGGAGGCCCGAGTCTTCGCCCCGGCCATACCCCGGCAGACCTGAGTGGGCGGCAGCGTGCCTCTGGTACAGGTGAGGGCACAGAGGGGACCCAGGTGAACCGCAGGACCCCAGGTCCCGGGACTGGGACCCAGGCCTCTCTCACAGCCTGGGGGCCACGCACCCCTGTCCTGGGCACCTCACGTAGCCTCTGATGGTGACACTTGTCACTCCCCACCGGAGGAGCCCGGGGGACTGCCCGTGGCAGGGCCCGGGCGCTTCCCTGCCCGTACAGAGAGCTCCCCTCCCCTTCTGCCTCTGCTGACAGCTGTCCGGGCCGCCGCCTGGGAGTGGCCGCCACGCTGGCCCCGTGCGCTGGGGCCGCACAGAGCGAGAGGAGAATGGGCCCACTGTCCGCTGCGGCCTGGGGGAGGCTCTGGTGCTGTCTGGGGGCCAGGAGGTGTCCCCTCCGCCTTCCTGTCTGCCGTGGGCACAGCCTGTGTGGGGAAGGGGCTGTGGTTTCCCTGAGTGGCCGTGAACAGCCTGTCAGCTCCGGGGGCCGTGGCAGCGTGGGAGGGACGCCGGAGCCAGAACCCCAGGATGATCAGAGGCACAAAGGACCACTGAGCCCCCAGCCCAGTCTGGGACGCTCTGCCCAGGAAACAGGCAGGGTGGGTGTCTCTGGAGGGGGGCTCTGTAGGGTGAGCCCCAATCAGAATGGCGCCTCTCTTCCCTGGCAAAGGTGTGCTGAGGGCTCCCTGTCTGGCAGGGCTGGAGAGACGGTGGGCTGCCTGGGGGCCACGCACCAGGTGAACAGGCGTTTATCCCTGGCGGTCAGCTGAGACTTCAGTCGCGTTCCTTGCGAGCGAGCGCTTGCCCGGGTGCACGTGAGGCCCTGCCCGCTGGCCTCACGTTAGCGAGCGGGAAGGGGTGCGGAGGAGAGAGCAAGGGGGCTGGGCATGGCAGGGGGCAAGGCTGCGTCTGACAGTGTCATCGGGCCGTCACTTCCTCAACTCTGGAGCTGATGTGATTTCCTGAGCTTTATCCCCGGTATCTTTCCCTGCATGTTTTAAGTTTTTCCTCTGTTTGTGTGTCTCCAGGAAAACCAACCCTGCAGCATGGGGTGCACCCCCCCCCCGCCCCCATGGGCCTGGTACCAGGTGCAGTGTGACCACCAAAATCGCAAAAGAGCTGGGGGCACTTCCGGAGTGGGAGGCTGGTAATGAAGGGGGCGTGTGAGATAGAACGGGCTTCAGACCTTGGGCACGGTGGGTCCCATTCTCTCCAGGTGTCCAAGACGGACAAAGGGACACTGAGAGCAGCCCAGACCTCTCTCCACCTATTGGGACACCCCTGTGGCCATTCCCAGTGGTGGGGGAACCTCAGTGTTGGCGTCTGAGACCAAGATTCAAACCCTCCGAGCTGGGAAAGATATTCAGCCCCTGCGAGCTTTCACGTCCTTTTTGTGGGCATATGCTTTCGTTTCTCTTGGGTATAGGCCTGGGAGTGGAATCGCTGGGTCATATGGTGACTGTTTAATGATTTGAGGAGCTGCCAGACTGCTTTCCAAGGCAGCTGCACCATTTTGCATTCCCACCTGCAACGCGCACGGCTTCCAATTCCTCCACCTCCTCACCGACAGTTGGTATCGTCTGTCTTTTCGGTGAATGCCATCGTGGTGGGTGTGCAGTGGTGGCTCACGGTAGCTCCGGTTCTCACTTCCCTGGTGACTCGATGCTGAGCACCTTTTTGTGTGATGTGCTGCATTAGCCGTACGTCTGTCATCTGTGGCGAAATGTCTGTCTCGATCCTTTGCTGATTTTTACACTGGATTATTCGTCTTCCTGTTGAGTTGTTTATGTCCTCTGGGTTCAGGTCTTTGGTTGGATATACGATTCGCAAATATTTCCTTCCAGTCTGCACCTTGTGTTTTCACTTTGACTAATGGTGTCATTTGAAGCACAAAGGCTTTTTTATTTTGCTGATGTTCACTTTATCGATGTCTTCTTTTATGACTTGTATGTTTGGCGTCGAAAGCTTTGCATAACCCAGGTCGTGAATATACACCTATGTTTCCTTCTAATAAGCATTTATAGTTTCAGACCTCGCCTTGAGGTCTGTGATCCATTGTGCATATGGTGTGAGGTACGGCTCTAAATCCCCCTGTTCTTGCCTGCGGGTGTCCAACTGTCCCCAGCATCATTTTGCTGAAAAACAAAAAAACAACTATTCTTTCTTGCATTGAATAGCTGTGGCGATTGTGTCAGAGGTCACCGTCGCAGTGCTCCATCACCCGCCTTCCCCCCACCCTCGCACCGTGGTGGTTGGCGGGCTGGTAGAGTACAGCACTAACCGCTGTTCTAGGTTCCTACACGAGGTTCCAGCTGCAGGGTCTGGGTCACCGAGAGGTGCGGGGCCCTTGCACCAGCGGGCAGAAGTCAGACCCGGCTGCCGTGTGTGGTTTACCCAAGCTGTGGAGGGGCTGTCTCTGCCACTTGCTAGCTGTGTGATCGGGTCAAGTGTCTTCATCCATCTCTGCCTCAGTTTCCCCATCTGTGAACCAGGAGTGATACTAGCTCCTTAGCTCATAGAGTTAGTGAAAAAAGAAAATGAGCTAGTGAGTGTCAGATGCTCGGAGGGGAGCCTGCGCGGCTAGCATGAGCTGCGGTACAGATGCAGTGTGGTGTTCTGACTACGGCAGCTACTTGGGGTTCAAATTTCTTAGCCAGGATCCACACAGACGAAAACAGAGAAGGGAACGGGCCGTGGAGGGGCGCCCTGTGTCCACGACAGCTGTCCTGTAGCAGTTCCTGGCTGCAGTGGCAACAGACATAAGTCCATGCTCTTCCTGCGTAAACACACCTCCTGCCCTAGGAAGGCCTGACAAAGTGCGATCCCTCCCCGACGCCAGAGGGACCTGGGAGAGCCCCCCTCTGGCAACTACACAAGGGAAGGGTTGGGAGCCCTGTAACGGGAGCTCACACCAGTCTGTCCTTCTCTCTGTTTGGTCTGTGTTAGATACAGGTACCAAACATGCATACACACATTGCACATGCACACACGCACATGCAGGTGCACACACCCACATGCAGATGCACACACATGCAGACGCGCACATGCAGATGCACATGCAGGTGCACACACACATGCAGATACACACATGCACATACCTGCACACATGCACACTCATGCAGATGTACACATACACATGCAGTTGCACACACGCATCTGCAGACGCACACACATGCAGAAGCAGACGCACATGCAGATGCATACATTGCACATGCAGATGCACACACATGCAGGTGCACACGCACATGCAGATGCATACATTGCACATGCCTGCACACAGGTACATGTACACACATATCCCTGCACACAGAGGTGGCACGCTACCTCTCAGGTGCTACCATCGGTGTCCTTCCACCCCCACCTGAACCCTACCATAGGCTTCCTAGGGAGGCACTTCTCTGTCTCAACACTGTTGACATGTGGGGCCAGGTCACTCTGTGTCATAGGATGCCTTGTGGGATGTTTAGCAGCATCCCTGGCCTCCAGCCACCTACAGGCCAGTAGCACCCGTCCCTCCAGTTCAGTCATTGCCAAATGTCCCCTGGGAAGCACAGCCACGCCCCGCTGAGAACCTTTGTCCTACAGGCTCTTGTCAGAGGTCTGCAAGACAGAGCATGGGGCAGGGGGTCTGGAGGGCTGCCTTTTAGGGTGTGTCCCCATGCTGAGAATCCACGTGTCCTTGTCACCAGGCCCTTGCTTACCATCCTGGGAACGCTACAAGAAGCGGCGTTTGTCCTCCTGTCCTTGCAGGTCTGCTACGGACGGTCCTGGCATCTGTGGCTCCTCAGTCCTGGGGCCCCCCGAACCCGCTGCTCTTGGCTACAGCCGCCACCCCTCGGAGACCATGCCTGTCGGGTTCTCAGAGATGAACAGAAACGTGGAGAGGGCCGTTTGGCGGAGCCCCAATCCTGACGACGGGGCCTTACATTTGGGGCAGAAGCGCAAATTGCTGCAGGTCAGAGAAAAAGAAGAGGCGGCTCCACCGAGAAGACCCGACGTCAGGCTGTGGAAGAGCTGCCAGCTCCATGGCTTGGCCGAGGAGCTGCGGGCCGCCTGGCAGGAGGCTCAGCACCGCCACTCTCGCCTGTCAACTGCGAGGTGGCGGCGCACAAAGGACAGAGAGCCCGACCAGGACGAGCCCCTGCAGCAGGCAGCAGCCAGGTCCCTGAGGGCCAGGGAGAGGAACAGAGCAGCCCTCAGAGACGAGAGAAGCCGCAAGGAAGAACCAGGCCGGCACGGCTGGCACCCCAGGGCCTGGAGGCTGGTGGGGTGCACGGAGAGGCAGGCAGCCACAAGAACCGCCAGCCGGGTGCACCTTCCCCTGAGCCCCCCTGAGAAGAGCCAGGGAAAGCAGCGAGTGCCTTGGACCAAGTCCGGGGGTGGCCGCCGTCCCGTCACCACTCGGGGGGGCAGAAGGGTGGACCCACTCTTGGCCCCTGCAGGGGAAACCAAGCAGCGGGTGGAGAGGGAAACCACCCAGGAGGGGAGGAGGCAGCAGGAGAAGGGCACGGCTAGCTTGGTCCGAGGTCGCAACCTGAGTCTGGAGGGCAAACCTCGAGCCGGGGAACAGCGCTGCCCGGCCGACTGCACCTGCAGAAGGGGAGCCCAGGCGTCCCAGTGCACCTGCAGCGACAAGAGCGAGTGGCAGAAAGAGCTGGAGTCCACCTTCGAAGAGTTGTTCAACACAAACAGAAAGCTGAAAAAACACCTGAGCTTGCACCTCGAATCGAGGCCCAGGGCGGCCCAAAACTCCGACGAAGAACAGGCCGTCTCGGGGTCCCCAGACAGCGGCAGCGAGACCCCGAGAGAGAAGAAAGCAGAAGACGAGGAGGAGACGCCTGCCGGGGAGTCCGACAGCCCGGCAGGGGTGGAGGCCCAACTGACGGCGTCCGGCAGCGATCTGGAAACGTTACTGAGCAGGATCGAGAACCTAAAATACCACCAGAGCGACGAGCCCGACTGCAGGAGTGAAAGCCAGATGCAGTGTCCCGAGGCGGGGACATCGGTCGACGAAGAGGACAAGCTCTCCTGCGTCACCTCGGCGGCGGCCACGCCCACGGTGGAGAGGGCCCCCCAGCTCCACCTGCGGGACCAGACAGGCGGGGCGGGCTCCCTAGCGGCCTGGAGGCAGAAGCAGAAGCAGGAGGCCGAGGAAGACTGGAGGCTGCAGCGGCAGCAGGACCTGCTGGAGCAGCCGGAACATCCGAACATGAGCTTGGAGATCCACTACATGCCGGAGCTGGAAAAGGAGAGGAAGGAGCGGAGGAGAACCCGCCTGGCCCTCCTCAACTCCTACCCCTCGCGGGGCTGGGACACGAGAAGAGGCCCCCAGCTCAGCCTCACCGAGGAGGAGTGGCACAGCCAGATGATCCGCGACCTCCAGTACCAGATCTCAGAGCAAGACAAGATGCACAAGCAGTTTCTCGAAGAAGCCAGGAGGCGCCTGCGGGAGTTTCAGGACTAGCACTAACGAAGCGCGAGGGGCCGGCTGCGATAAATACACCGCTGATAGCTGTTCTCTCAGAGCCGGCGCCTCCGAGACCTGTGTTTGCGTCGTCCGCTCGGGGACCTGGTGGTCTGTCCTCGTCCCGCCACCCTCCGGGCAGGTTCCCTCCTCTCCCCTCGTGAGCCAAGTCCCACGTGGGATCCTCCTTTGCACAAACACAGGAGCCCGCGGCGGTCGGGTAGGCGGCTGCTAGGTTCGTTTCCATGCGCCACGGGCACAGACAGAAACTCCAGGTACAGTGACGCTACACGTGTCTTAGCCGAATAAACGCTGGGCGTCGAGGGGCATGCCAGGCCGGACAGGCACAGTTTCAAAAGACACGCCACTCATTGCTTAGCCCCTGGCTGAGACGTCCACGGAGAGATTGAACTAATCTCTTGATCGCTTGATCTCTCAGGGTGACAAAGCCAGTGTCGTTTAATAGCACGTCACTTGACACATTCTTATAACTTTGAGAGAGAGCAGGAAGACAGGAGAGAGGAGAAAGGCACCGGATGCCCACCCTGCTGGGTGGCCCTCTGGGCTGGCAAGGGGCGGGTCCGGGGTATTTGGTCTGTTTCCCGTCCCCCGGCTCTGCCTGTGGCCCAGCAGCCGTGGCAGCCACGGAGACCCCACACGGGGCAGGATTTTTCCCTGCAAATTGTGGACTTAGGGACAGGGACAGGGGTGGGCACACTTTCTCTGCAAAGAGCCAGGGAGTAAATATTTTCACTGTTGCGGCCAGCCATACAGTCTGGGTGGCACCTGTCAACTCTGCTGTGGCTGGAAGGCAGCCGTTAATATACATAAACCAACAGCAGTGACCACGTTCCAGTTAGGCCTGATTCACAAAACTAGGTGGGCGGGCTGGATCTGGCCCCCGGGCCATAGTTGGCTGACCCCTGGGCTAGGACAGTCCGAAGCCGAGGGCTCAGATATATCCACGTGGATCGAATCAGCCGTCTTTGGAATCACTGGCCACGAATGGCCTTTCTCACACATATTTTGTAAACAATTCAGTCAACAACTGTGAGCCCGCCAGCCAAACCCGAGGTCTGGAATATTGGCCGGAAACCCTCCTCTTCCTCTGTGCCACTTCCCTGCCGTACCCCTGCCTCCTCCTCAGGTGTGTACCTGCTGGACGTGGGCGTATCCCTGTTTCCCCAGGTGTACGGGTGCTGAGCAGCGTAGCATTTGACCTTTATAAAAAGGATGTCACGTGTGATCTTTGGGAAGCATTTTTTGGTCTCAGCGTAGCTGCTGGCTGTCACCCCTGTCACACAAGGGGGTCGCTACTTGCTCACTTTTACTCTGGCGTGACTCCATGCCACCATCGGAGCCTCTCTCCGGGCAGGCCCGGCGCTTTTCCGTGCCTGTTCTGGAGCGGAGGCCCGTGTCCCTAATGCATCTGGTCGAATGCTGGGCGTCAGGACGTGTTCTCGGGAGTCGTGGACGCCACAGCCGGACGTAGGTGCGGGAGGGTCCTGTCCCTTACCTCCCAGCTCCACCCTTGTCCCGTGGGAGAGGTTGACCTGCCCTCCTTTCTCACTAAGTGTCAGACGCCAACCCTGTCGCTGGCGATAAACAGGGAACAGACACCACGCAGAAGAGCCACCAGGCTCACATTCTGGTGGGAGATATGGGCAATAAATAAGAAAGTTCTAGGCCGGGCACAGTGGCTCACGCCTGTAATCCTGGCACTCTGGGAGGCCGAGGCGGGAGCATCGCTCAAGGTCAGGAGTTCGAAACCAGCCTGAGCAAGAGCGAGACCCCCGTCTCTACAAAAAATAGAAAGAAATTTATTGGCTAACTAAAAACATATAGAAAAAAAAAATTAGCCGGGCAGGTGGCGCATGCCTGTAGTCAGCTACTCGAGAGGGCTGAGGCAGGAGGATCGCTTGAGCCCAGGAGTCTGAGGTTGCTGTGAGCTAGGCTGACGCCACAGCACTCTAGCCCGGGCAACAGAGCGAGACTCTATCTCAAGAAAGAAAGTTCTAGAAGGGGAGACGCAGGGAGGTGTCGGGCAGTGACCGAGTGTGTGCATCTCTGAAGCGTTGTGCTCCTTTGGGTGGTGGGATCCCTCACCATGTTGCGCTTTTGCTTTTTGGTTCTCTAACCATCAGTAGCTTGAGTGAGGAACCTTCTACCGTCTCCCATGCCCGTCATCCTGTGGGTCTCTGTCTGTCTGTGGCTTTTCCACCGTAAGTAGAGAAAAGCTTTGACTGCAGCCTGGTTTCTTTGTGCCCCCTGCTCCTGGGATGTCGGGTCAGGGTTGCAAAGCCACTCGACAGTTTGATCTAAGCCCAGCACGGTGAAGAAGGACACGCAGGGACCGGAGGGCTGCTGTCACCCGTGTGCCAGCAATGTTTCCACGGGGCTGCACCTGCCCGGCACCCGGCCGTCCTCTGAGCTTGGAGTCACCCGGAGACCTGCAACGTGGCCGCCTGTCACTGCAGCGGCGCCTCTGTCCAAGATGGCAGATGGGTGTTGTGGGGTCACGGGGGCAAAGCCATGGCCACGACAGGACCCAGACACAGGGTGACGGAGGTCTTCCTGCCATACCCTGGACGCCGCGGTCTCACGCGTGGGCTGGCCCTCCTCGGAGGGGGTTATTTTTGTTTCCGTGTTCAAAGGCCGTGTTTGCGGCACACACATGCTTTCTAGGTGAGGAGTCGCCCGTGCTTGGCCACACTGGAGCCAAAACGAGGTGTGGGGCTGGGCAGCGAGACAGAGTGGTGACTCATCTCTGCCCGGACAGTGACACCTACACTGTCCCCTGGCAGCGGGACAAATCACCCTGCCCTTCCCACCTGCCCCTCAAGGCCAAAGGGCGGGGGAGGCTGCTTCTCTGCCCAGGCCGGTGAGTGCACCTCGGGGGTAATCCCCCACCAAGAGGACGGCCTCCCATGGAGACGTCACCGGGTGACTTTCCGTCACCACCCCAGCGCCTGGGGGTCCCAGAAGCCCCCACGGCAGCCTCCCCAGGAGCCGGCACAGGCTCTGCGGCAGGGGTTTGGGCCGCAGCCCTGACAATGGCTCGGTGACCCGGGCGAGCTGCCGGTCTCTGCACCTCCTTCCCAGCCTTGGCTGTCCACCTCCTGCCCCTCTTACCCGGGTTCGAGTGTCTCTCTTTCCACCACCTTCATTCCTGACTCACGTGCACGGAGGTGGGGACACCCCCTTGGCACTGCTGCTGCCGGCCCTGTGACCCCAAATCCTCCCTGGAGCACCAGGCACCACATCCGCTACGCTGGCCGTCTGGGGGCCAGCCCGGATCCAGCCCCAGCCAGGCAAGCTGCCCTGCCTGGCCTCCGTGTGACTCTTGAGACGGGGGCCGGTGCCACCTGGAAGGGCCAGGGGCTCCCGGAGGGTTTCCGCGGACCTGCCAGGCCAGGCGGCGGTGAGGACCAGGCACGGCAGCATGTACCCTCCATCCTAAAGCACTTCCGGGGCCGCCCTGCAGTGTCTCCCGCTCCAAACACTCTGTGAAAGCTCTTCTAGAGCTTTCCGCTGGTTCTGTGCTTGTGCCCTCACATTTGGAGCACAAGCTTCCCTGTTCCCCGCCTCACTCTGCATTTGCTAGAACCTTCCTTGCATCCCTGCCCTGTGGTCCTTCTCCCCAAACCACAGGGACTCGGGAAGGCCTCGTGGCTACCCCGGTGTGGGTGGGTCACCCCGCTTGCCCGGGAGGTTTGCAGGGGGAGCAGCATCGTCAGCAGTGCATGCCACCAAGGTCAGCTGTCCGCAGGGTGGGGGCGGGCCAGGCTGTCTGGGAGGTGCCGGGACAAGGGCAGCAGGAACAGGGTTTGCCCCTTGGTGGCAGGGCCCCCTCGTCCACCGGCCAGGCTGGGCGCTTTGGACCTCACCTGGGAGCTAGCTGCCTTGGGGTCAGTTCAGTCTTCTCTCCCTTCGCGGGGCCCTCGAGCGTGTACCATGGTGGGGAAGTGGGGCCCTCTCTGACCTGGACTCGTTTTCCAGTGCAGCAAGGTTATGTCAAGACACGGAAAAGACATGGCTGGCGTGTGGCCTCCGCCCAGCCCTCTGTAAGGGGACGGAGGGCTGATGTGTGGCCTTCGGTGGCAGCTGCCGTGACAGCCCAGGCCAAGTTCCACGCCAGCTCAGGGGCTGGTTTGCAAGGCTCCGCTAAGGAGGAGTGGGGACAGGAGCCGTCCCTAGCTTCCGTTCTCCCCACCCCGGAGCCTGGGAGAGCGTGGCTGGGCTCCAGCCTTCACATCGCTGTTCAGAGAGCTGGGTTCGGCCCACAGGCCACGCGTGCCTTAGGGTCCCACACGCAGGCCGGGGCCCCGGACCGTCCGTGCTGCAGGCCCAGCCCTCGTGTGCTCCTCCCTGAAAACAAGCCAGCCTGGAGAGGAGCAGTGACCCACGGCACACGGCCCCGCCAGCGACAGCACGAGAGGGTCATCTGTCCCTCTGGCTTCCGAGCTGTGGCCCCTTCTAGAACAGCCCGGGGCGGGGTCCCTCTCCAAGCTCCCCCTGCCCCTGCCCCCGCTCCGGCTGGGGGTGCGCAGGGCCCAGCTTGGCTCCTCCGCCGGCCTTGGCGGCGACAGTGCAGCGCTGCACTTCCCTCCACAAAGCCGCACTGTTCTCGGCAAATCCTCCCAGGATCGGGATGCATTTTTTTCAGATGATTCAGCAGCACGTGAATGGGAAGGGCCTGAGCCCCAGGCTCTGGCACGAGATGCGCCGGCCCACAGGGAGAAGGGAGGAAGGGTGGCGGGGCGTGGGCGTGGGCGTGGGCCAGGGTCCCACCGGGCTGCAGAGGGAAGGGGCAGGGTCCTGGGGGGTCGGGGAGGGCAGCGGGGGGCTGGGCAGAGAGTGCCGCGGCGTTTCTCTGCACAGCCGAAGCTCTGCTGGGTGCCGCTCCCTCGCACTCCCGAGGGGAGCCACGGCACACGGGCAGGAAGTGGAGTTGGGAGAGCTGGTCTCCATGGAGATGGGCATCAGTGGCCAACGGCTCACGTGTGTGCGCTAGAATCTCCAGCAGCGGGGGAGGGAGCCGTGCTCGTGGGCGGCGTGGCCGGGCTGCGGCTGACTGCTGCCCCGCCCCACCGCCGTGCACCCCATCTCCCCACCCCCACCCCACACCCCCAGAAATCTGCTCTGAGCAGTTGTCATTCCAGGCATTTCTCACCCTGGCCTGAGTCACGCTGCCCAAGTGTTGTCCTCACCCTGGACAGGCACAGCCCTGCCCCCGGGTTGCCCAGGTGCCTGTCTGTGGGCCCTTGCCCCCCCCAAGAAAGGCCCAACTGCTGGCTCCTGGGGATGGAGGATTTTGGGGGGACCCGAGGGTGGGGCTGGCCTCCCACAGCTGCGTTGGGGAGGGAAGCAGCCCTGGTTCCCGCCAGCACCACAAGCCTGTTTTTAATTACCAAGTGACGGCCCCTTTTTTCTTCATTTCCCTAAAAGGAGCGAACTTGGAGGAGGTCTGTTTCACCACTAACCGAAAGGGGCAGGGCCAGGGGAGGGCCGGGCTCAGTTCTGGGGAGACCCCATGACTGTGCACTGAGGGCCCCCAGGGTGGGAGGCAGAGAGTGGGGCCAGAGGCTGCAGGTGGGGCCGGACACCCTGCGGGCTTCGGAGTGCCAAACCAGCGCTGCCACCTCTCTTCTATCCTGTGGCATCGCCCAGCTGCGCCCAGTCTGCAGGGGGCTCGTGGGGAGGGGCGTGGCCCCCAGCCCTGGGGGGCAGAGCAGGGGTGCGGTGCAAGAGCACAGCCCCCTTTCCAGATGCTCGGCCATCCTGCTGAGAGAAGCGGACAGCATCCCAAGTGGTCCACGCTGTGCCCCCCAAAGCCCATGGGGTTACTCAGTTACACGCAAGCACTTGGGGACCCCGCAGCCGTCCGAGAGCAGAGCCCCGAAAGAATCATTTCATCGCCGCTGTCGTCGGGTGAAAACCACACGCCGTGTTGCTGGACATCTGTCTCCCAGCAGACCGCGTAGTCGCTGGAAGTGGGGAAACGGGGCACCACCTCCCTCTCCAGACTCTGACCTTGGGGGTCTGCGGGCGGCCGGGACAGAGGGGCCCAGGTCCACCCTCACCTGGAGCTTCGGGCAAATTAATCGAGATGCATTAGTCAAGCAGCCTCAGCCAGGTCAACCGGCCAGGGGTGTCGTTACGTCCACCCAGGAGGGACCAGAGACTCTCACCCCGGATGGCAGCCCAGGTTGTAGTCACGGCGCTAGCGGGGGCCTGGCCGACCGTGCCCACGTTTGAGGGTGTCGACGTCAAAACTCGCGGCACCTCGCTCTTGGAGAGTCCAGACAGAGGGTGGGGGCCACGCAGCTCCCCGGGCAAGACAGGGGCGCCAGGGCCACCTGCGGCCTCCAGTCCCCACCGGGCGGGTGGAGGTCAGGTTTCGTCGGGGAGAGAAAATGGTTTAGTTTGTAATTCCTCCGAAACGGCTGGCGTGTGATCCCGGCCGGAGACGAGGAAGTGGCCCACGGGCCCCCCGAGGACGCCTGCAGCACCTGCGCGCCGTGAGGCCTCCTCCAGGGGTGGCCTTAAGCGCGGGTGGGCGTCCCCAGGCTGACTTTGACCCTGCCGTGGCCTCAGAATGCCTCCTCCCACCCGAGGTTTGGGCCAGCCGGGTCTTTGCCAGGAACTCAGAGCCCCCGCCCCCCCCCACGCGCGAGTGGGGACCGCCGGCGTTTCCCCAGGCCCACAGCAGCACGGGGTGGAGGGAGACATGCTCACCCCGTGGATGCAGACGCCCTCCCAGGCCCAAGCGGGAGCCTGCAGAGAGGGTGGGCGGGCGGGGGTGCCGGTGACCCCTGGTGACACCGAGCACCTCCTCCCGGTTTCTGAGTCGGCGCAGGTGATCCGGGGCAGATTAGGGCTTCGTGTTTAGAGGAGCGGGTTTGCGAGTCCTGGAGATGCCTGCACCCTCTCTGGGCAGACGGGAGACTCGGAGGGACTGCAGCCACCTTGCTGCTCCTGCTGCCCGAGCTCGGCCTCAGCGGGGACTGGGTGTGTGGGACACGCCGGGGGAGGTCGGGGCTTACCACGCGCCCACTTACCCGTGCTCCTGGGTGGGAGCCCGTGCCCGGCAGAGCAGCGCACGGGGCTGACCTGCAGGATGGACTTACGCGCGTGGGGCTGCTCCGGAGAGCACGGGCCCCGGACGGGACGGTAAAGAGGCTTCGGGGAGTGAGAGACACGTGAGCTCCGGGAGCGGTTTTCTTTCTGGGTCTGACCCCACCGTCTGGCGTGGGCGCGGCGTGGGCTTATTTTCCCCAGGAACTTCCGTGGTGCTTCTGTGGACATAGTAGGGTTCAAAAGGTGTTGGTGGGCGCGTGACAGGGACTTGGGGACACGGGGCCGAGTGATGGTGGCAGCAGACGGATCCGAAGGGGGAGAACGGTGTCTCCGGGGCCGGTCACAGTTGGGTCTGTTGAGTGTCGGCGACACCCGGGTTTTCCGGCAAGCCCCCTCGCTGTTGGCTCCCCGCTGAGGACGGCGGCAGGACAGCGCGGCCCCCGTTGGTTTTCCCTGGGTGGCTGTGAGTCCCCAGTCGGAACGTGGCCCACCCCCTTGGATCACGCTCCGTGACCTGGATTCCCCACCCGGCCCGTTCTTTTCCATCCCCAGCCTGGCTGGGTGCGCGGGGGTCGGTTTTGCAGGCTCCTGGTGGGGGGAAGTGACATCATGCGGTGGCCGCGGTGGCCGCAGGGGCAGGGGCAGGGCTCTGCGGTTGCGTGTGCTCTGGATTCGGCCGAGGACTGTGCGTCCCGGTAGCCGGCATCTGGCAGCGGACGCGTCAGTGTGTCACCCTTGATCTCAAACCCAGATGTGTGTTAGCAGCAGAAGGGACAGAGGGAAAATGAAATCCGAGCCGCCTGGGGAGAGGCCACGGTGTGGGGCACGGGCAGCTAGAAAACAAGCGTCTCTATGAAGAAAGACTCTCTCCGCCCCTGCCTCTGGCTCCCGGGTAGGGAGCGGTGGGGGGGAGCAGCCTGCTCCCCGGGGGCGCGGACGGGCCGTGGGCTGAGCCCTGCTGGCGCCCAGCGCCGGGCCCTGCATTGGTAGGCGTTCAATAAACACGTGTCTGGGCCTTGATTTTAATTTCTTCCTGGATTCTTTGTGTCTCTTTGCTTTCCCCGGCCCTGCTCCAGAGATGGCCTGGAACCCAGGGCCCCCTCCCAGGGAGCCGCCTCCTCCCCGCGGTCCTGGGGTCCAACCCGGTGCTCCCTCGCCGGTCTTCTTGCCCGGGCCGGGCGCCCCTCAGAGGCAAGGTCTGTCACTGGAGCCCTCAACGTGGCAGACCCACCCCGTACCCCTTTCTCCACCTGCTGCTGCCTCTGGGCACCTGCCCTGGACGGGCACCTGCTGTGACCCCCGCCACATCGCAGGTGCATGCGGACCAAAGCGTCAACGGCCTGTATCCCTCATGCGGGTGGTGTTGAGGCTCGGGGGAAGGCGTCCGTAGAACTGGCCCTCCTCTGCCTCTCTGGAGTCCCCTTTTCTTCCTTCACACGACCTCCCATTTTGCAACATGGGGGAGGAGGTCCCCACCCCGAGGCGTCCGAGTTCAGGTTCCCTGTGGGCAGACTGGCCTCGGCCCGGCTGGACGTGGAGGGTCTCAGGCTCCAGTGCCCCTCCCCTGCAAGCGTGTGGTGCTCAGCGCCGGTTAACGCTCTGGCTTAACACGCCCCCAGTCTGCCCCAGGCCCTCGATGCAACCCATGCCCTCTGACAGTTTGAGAGGAGAGCGCGTACCCGCAGCCCCAGAGCGAAGCGGGCGCGTCAGGAAGCCGCGCCGACGCCAGCCGCTGGGAGTCTGTGGGGCGCCGTGCGCGGGACCGAGCGTCCCTGTCCCTGCGCGGCGTGATGTGTTTCCCAGCCCCCCACCCCAGGCGTGGGAGAGCATGCCCCGCTCCCCTCCGCAGCGCTGTTTCGTTCATGGTGCCGAACTGGACGAGCGCTCATTGCCAGGCACCGCGTCCACATTCCCGACCTCTCTGATCCTCGCCACGACCTCGGGGGGAGTAGGCTCTGCTGTTGGCGTCTCCGTGTTGGACTCTGTGAGCACCTGTGGCTCTGGGGGGCACAGGAACGCCTCTGAGACCACGCAGCCAGGGTGGCCCACGCGGGACCCGTCCCTGACCCTGCAGCTTTCAAATACGGACCCGGACTCTGCTGGGAGGCCCAGCAGCGGGTTTCGTAAGAGGACAGTGGGTGGACCTTAACGCGTGGAATGGGATGGAGCCTTTGGCTGCTGCTGCAGTCATTTTTGCTTGTTTTCTGATCACCAGGGGTGTGTTGACTGAATTCTTGTGGTGCACAGTAAGTCATTGTGCAACAAAGCAGACCTCTGAAAACCAGCTCCAGAACATTGCAAAAGACACGCACAACTCAGTAGACCGTAACCAAGTCCAGCTTATTGCTCCTTCTGGAACGATCGTTTGCTTCTAATTTTGCTGGTTTGCTTTTGAACTGATGACTTTGCTACCTGAAGAGCAAACTTAGGACAGAGTTAATCAGGCGTGTTTACTGATGTGCATACACTGCTCTGCAGCATCGCGATAGGGCATGTAGATTAGGCAGGCAACAAGAGGGACCAAAGACAAACCTCCCCTGAGCCACCAGCCCACTGTTGCCAGGTTCGGCTCAGTTCCACGTGGCAAACATCCAGCGAGCCCCTACAGTTCTGCAGTAGGAATGCAGCCTCTGCCTGTTAGGACCTCCCAGCCCCTGAGCAGACAGGTGTACAGGTGTTGACGGCAGGACGGACGGGAGATGGGGAATATACCAAGTGCTGCAGGAGAACAGAATTTCCCAGAGGAAGACAGAAAAGGGTTATTTTAGCTGGGTCTTGAAGAATGAATAGAAGTTCTCTGTGGATATATACGAGTAACATTTACTGGGTGTCAGGAGGGTGGGAGAGGGGAGGAGGGGATGGGTATATACAACCAAACGAGTAAGATGTGCAATGCTTGGGGGATGGACATGCTTGAAGCTCTTACTCGAGGGGGGAGGGGGGGCATGGGCAATATATGTAACAACACTTTTACCCCCATAATACGCTAAAATAAAAAAAAAAGTTATCCAGGGAGAGACGGGGAGATGGCATTTGGGGCAGAAGAAACTTGCCTGTTCAGAAGTACGGACATACCTGGGCCTTTCCAGCGCAGGGGAGTTTTTTGGACTGGTGGACCCGCAAGAGCAGGGCTCGGAGATGTCAGGCCAAGGCGGCCAAGGCAACCGGCTGGCGTCAGGGTGCAAGGTCTCGCGTTGTAGGTGAAGGCAGCGGGCAGCCAAGGAAGATGTTTGAGCTGGAAGGGACATGAGTATAAAAAGACAGCTGGTGGCAGTGGGTGAGATGATGGTTTCTGGTGGGGGAGGGGATGCCGGGCCGCATTTCCTAGATGTGGCTTTTCAGCGTGAGGCCTGGCTTAGCCTGGGAAACAGGAACCTGAGGCCTCGGCCCATCATGACTCAGCTCCAACAGAAGAAATAAGAATGGGGTTTGGGCCTGGGTGGGGCTATGGCGTGGGGCTCTGGTGCCAGGGTGGGATCCCCAGAGAGCATTTCTGGGGCCGATGGGACTGGATGCAGGTAGAGCACCCACAAACCTCTCTGCCCCTGTGGGCAAACACAGCCCCGGCCAGGAGTGTCCAAGAGACTTGAGCTGAGCACTCAGGGCTGGGGCTGGGAGGCTTCTTTGAGCCTGGTGCTGTCTGTTGCTTATCTCTCTCTTTTGTGCTCATATCCACACTAGCATAGCACTCACCCAGGGTGACTCTACGCCCCCGAATTTTGGAGGGCAAAGCTTTTAAAGCCATTAAAACAGGCCGTGCCCTAGCTGATAAGCCTTGGAATGGAAAAGGGAGGGCCCTACCCTGTGCTGCCCCAGTGGCGGGACAGAGTCCTGGCCCAGCAGCAGCTGCAGGCTCCAGAACATTCCAGAACCTTCCCAGCCCAACCTCTTGGCCCTCTCCTGTCTTTGGTCGTGGCCGGGCTCCTCCTTCTGTTTGACCTCCCTCTCAGCGTCTGTCCCTTAGGTCTGTCAGCTAAGCCTGCAGGTATCTCCTACCTGTATCAGGTATGCACATTCCGGCCCTGCCCCGTCACGCCCCCACTGGAACCGGAGTTGCTATAAAGAGTCACCGTCAGGACATCTTCCAGGGGAAACCTTTAGGACAGATGAGGAGGGCAGCTGGACAGACCTTTTAGCTGTAAATACGCCGAGCCCCTTTAAGGTTGGCAACGAACCCCTGCCCTCAGCCCGCAATGGCCTGTTCGCCCGCAGGCTGGGGTGGAGCGTGGTGGGAACGTCCACCCTTAACCGAGCCGGGCTGCGGGCCCGGTCATCTGTGTGTCTGCATGCCCAGCCATCTGTGTGTCTGCATGCCCAGCCACCAATAAACACACACTGAGGGGGAGTGAAAAAGCCCCAGAGCACTCACGCATGACATCACAACAGGCTTTGGTCAAGTCAGTGGCTGTCCCCCGCTGGCACCGACGCCACCCTGGTCATGAGCTGCCAGCAGGCCCCTGGCCACCAGGAAGGGTTCTCAGGGGAGGGGAAGGAGCCCCAGGGCGTCGTCTGTCCTCCTGCAGGAGTCAGATGCCACTCGGGGCTGGGTCACCCTGTCCCTGGTTCCGCAGCTGGGAGGTGGGCGTGGGCTCGCAGCGGCCCCTTGCAGCAGCCCCGGCCCCCAGCCCCTCCTGTAGGACTCGCTCTTGGAACCCCCCCCTCACCTCCGGGTCCTTGTGTGTTGCAGTGATCCGGGCCAAAGCGGTCAGCGAGAAGGAGGTGGACTCTGGGAACGACATCTACGGCAACCCCATCAAGAGGATTCAGTACGAGATCAAGCAGATAAAGGTAGCGTGACCACTGCCTCGGGGGGCTCGGGGGCTGGGCAGAGAGCCGGGGTCCCTGGAACACGGCCCAGCCACGTGTGGGGAAGAAATTGAGGTCAGGCCACAAGTAGAGCTTGTCTCCCGTAACCCAAACACGCCTGAGAAGCCGTGTGAAAATGGTGTGCCCCCGGTGACTTCCATTGTTGAGAAACGTGTCGCCTTTATTTGGTTGGGCATGGCTCTGCTCGAAGTCACCGTGTCCACCATTGTATCCGTGGAATGTTCCGTGGCGCCTCTCCGGGGCTTAGTCATGGGGGTTGCAAGGCTGTGGTGGCGGGGGCTTGGTCGTTGCCCTGGGAGCCCACAGCTGGCGTGAGAGAGCGTACCTGGGTCCCCCAGACCGCAGCCCATGGTCCGCACCTGCCCGGTTTGCGTCAAGTTCTAAGAGGAGGGATTTGGCGAAAGGAGAAATCCCTCGGCCAGGTGTGTCCAGGAAGCTTCCAGAAAGTGGGAAGGGGAGGGAGGGTGTGGCTGGGCCAGTTGCTGAGAGGATGAGACGTCAGGTGGGAGGGGCCTGCAGGCCGAGGGGAGGAGGGTGGGCGCTTGTTAGGTTTTTCAGAGCGTGTCCGTGTTCGGGGCACAGGGGAAGAACACACGTGTGAGAGGGAGACGGGGCAGGGAGAACGTGCTGAGCAGGGCCCCGCGCGGGGGCTCAAGGCTGATGCTGTTGTCATTGACGATAACGAACTTGGTCTGCAAGGGAGAAGAGAGTTCTAGCTTCCAGGTGGAGGGACAGCTCTGTACATGGTAGCAGTTGTCACCATCCATATTTAATTTGGTTACAAAAATAAAAAGCAGTGGAAAATGAATGTTACCAGGAGGTCAGTGGAATGCTCAGTTGTCACAGGCATGCCACTTAACGGGGTGACCTCGTCTCTCAGAGCCCGAGTCTCTTGACTGATGAAGCAGGAAGCAGGACCTGCCAGGGCGACTTCATCAAGGGGTCGTGACAAAGCAGGCGTTAACGCCACGGAAGCGCTTTTAGCCTTCTGGAGACTGATGTCCTTTAACACGGCGTCAGGGTGACCTGTCCGCTGAATCTCCTTGTCCCTGTCTTCCCAGATGTTCAAAGGGCCCGAGAAGGACATCGAGTTCATCTACACGGCCCCCTCCTCGGCAGTGTGCGGGGTCTCGCTGGACGTCGGCGGGAAGAAGGAGTATCTCATCGCAGGTGCGTACGAGCGCAGCGCCCGCCGTGGCCTGGACGTGGGCAGGTCTCGCTGCCCTGGATTCCGGGTCGGGGGCAGGGTAGATTCAGGGACCCCTAGGCGGTGGACAGAGCCCTGCCACCATGAGCAGCGCCCTTCAGAAGTCTCGGGCGCTCCCTGCCGTCTCCCGTCAGGGGAAGAAACAAAGGAAAGCAGTGTTCGTAGGGAGTTTCAGGTTGAAAAATCGTGACTGTTTTTGCCTTTTTTGCTTTTCTTAAGATAGGGTCTTGCTCTGTCGCCTGGGCTAGAGCACAGTGGCACCATCACAGCTCACTGCACCCTCCAACTCCTGGGCTCCCTCAATCTCCTGCTCCTCCAGAGACCTCTTAGAAGTAGAATTATATAGTTTTCCTCCTCTGTCCGGCTCATTTCACTTAGCTTAATGTTTCCAAGGTCCATTCACGTTGTAGCGTGTGTCAGAATTTCCTTCGTTTCTAAGGCCAAATAATATTTCACCATATGGCAGCAGTGCATTTTGCTTATCATTGCATCTCTCTCTCTCTCTCTTTTATACTTTTATTCTTAAATAAATGTTTCCGTTTCCTTCTTCCTGCCACCTCTCTGCCTGCTCCGCTGGGCTGCACCCGGGCGTGCAGACAGGACTCTCCACCCCGGCACCGTCCACGTTCTTTGTTGTGGGGGGCCCGTCTCGGGCATCGTGGGATGTTTAGCTACATCCTGGCCTCTACCCATTAGATGCCATAGCACCCCCCCAAGTTGTGGGGTCTCCAGACATGGCCAGAAGTCCCTGGTGAAGGGTGCATTGCCCTGGTTGAGAACCACGGGCCTAACAGAACGTCCTGCGGTGGTGGGAGTGGTCTGTGTCTGCTCCATCCTGCGCGGCCAGTGCAGCTGAGGAACTGAATTGTGCATTTTATTTCATTTCAATTAATTCAAATTTGAATGCAAACAGCCACATGTGGCTGGCGGCCCCCACACTGGACACATCTTTCTCAGCCGGTTAAAGAGTGTTACTCCCCTCTTCCTGGGGGAAGCAGGGGTAGGATCCCAAACTTAAGGAAAAGGAAAACCAAACCCGGCGTAGTTTCTCACGCCTATAATCCCAGCACTCTGAGAAGCCGAAGTGGGCGGATCGTTTGAGCTCAAGAGTTCAAGACCAGCCTGAGCAAGAGCGAGACCCCCGTCTCTACTAAAAATAGAAAGAAATTAGTGGGGCAACTAAAAATACATAGAGAAAAAAGTTAGCCAGGCATGGTGGCAAATGCCTATAGTCCCAGCTACTCGGGAGGCTGAGGCAGGAGGATCGCTTGAGCCCAGGAGTTTGAGGTTGCTGTGAGCTAGGTTGACGCCACGGCGCTCTAGCCCAGGCAACAGAGTGAGACTCTGTCTCCAAGAAGAAAAACAAAATGAAAAGCCAAGACAGCTCCCCTAGACTGGCCCTATGTTTTATTCCAAGATCCAAATTTAATCATTAACATAAACTCTGAATCCAAATATCCATGGTTTGGGGGATTGTCTTCTGTCTTAGGGTATGTGTACCTTTTTTCTCTTCCATTGAGAATACTTAGAAATCAAGACACACTCAGCGGCGCCTGCCAGGTGCCCGGCCCTGCGTTAGGAGCAGCGGGAGATTCCAGAGGAGAGGTTTTGGCTCCTGCATCCGGGACTGCACAAACATTCCCGCTGGGGGAACAGAACATAAGTCAGAGAAAACAGGCAAGTTTTGTTGTGGAGCATCAGGACCAGTGAGCAGGAGCTTTGAAGGGGCAAAGAGCAGAGACCCTTGCAGGTCCGAGGGCCCAGACAGAGTGACAGTTAGGAGTAGGTGTCATCCTTGGCCTCGAATGGGAAGGGGTCACCGCAGGGAGTGGGTCCCAGATGGCCTCTGTTGTCTCCCCTTGGGTAACGTCCTTCCTCCCGTCCTCAGAATGCGCATAGCAGCTGACTCCGTGGTGGGTCTTGGCCATCAAGACCTTCTCCTTGGGGATATATTGCGAGATTTTTTCCCTTCTTTCTCTTATGCATTTCTGAACTTCCTGATGAGTTTTATTATGGGCATCTGTCTTTTAACAGCTTTTTTGAGATGTGATTCACACACCATTCGATTTACCTATTTAAAATATGCAGCTCAGTGGCTTTGGCATGTTGAGAGTTGTGCGGCCATCGCCACGGACAGAGAGACCGTGCACCCTCCTAACCCCCTTCCTCCCCAGCACCCAGCCCCGCGCGTGCACGGCTCTGCCTCTGTCCCGCCGGCTTCCGCGTTCCAGACTTTCCCACGGATGGAGCCGTGCCACACGTGGTCTTTGTAGCTGGCTTTCTGCACGCAGCATGATGTTTCCTCGACCGCGCGTGTGATCGGGCGTCAGGACCTTGTTCCCTTTTATGATAGCAACATTCCGCTGTGTGGCTAGGCCACACGTTGTTTATCTGTGCGTCATTTCACCGCATCTGGGTTGTTTCCACCTCTGGGCCTTCACGCCTCATGCTGGGCAGAGCTTGAGCCCGTTGTCTGCCGAAGTGAGGTGTCACAAGATCGGAAGAATGGGCTCCACTCGCGCCCGCCATCAAATCGGCGCTGACCGATTAACACTGCGGTGCTCACACGTGGGAGTGATATTCTCCAGGGATTAGGGGGTTAGGGGGGTAAACTCACAACTAATGGACATGGCGAGCATTATGGAGGGGAAGGGCAGGCCTCTAACCCTCGCTTGGGTGAGGCAAAGACATAAAATGTAAGCAAAATGTTTATACCCTCATAAGACCCTAAAATAAAAAATAATAATAATTTTTAGAAAGCCAGAGCCTTGGGGCCCAGCTCTGGCTCCTCACACTGCCCCCCAGAGGCAGCCTGGCCTAACTGCAGGGCCACGGAGCTCTCAAGAATGGAAGGGGGGCCGGTCCCCTGCACAGGTGGACTCCTGGGTGGTCGAGCGGCCTTGGCCTGGGCAGCCGCCACCCCCAGGCACACCCAGCTGAAGCCTCACCCACGCTGGGCTCTGTCTCAGAGGCTTCGCCCACAGGCTCGATCGAGCACCTGCCTGTTACCAGGACTCCCCTTTTCCTGGGCACTGAGAGGCAGATGTTTTCCAAATGCTTTTCATGCAGATTCCATTCAGTCCCAAAGGCCTCCCTGTCTTAAAGGTGCTGTTTTGATCCCAGTTTTGCTCCAGGGCCAGCGGTTGTGCGCTGGGCCCACCTGCACTGGCTTGAGAGCCCATTGTTAAAATGTTAGTTTTTCAGCTGGGCGCGGCGGCTCACACCTGTAATCCCAGCACTTTGGGAGGATGAGGTGGGGTCGGAGGGACCGGGCAGTGCAGCAGGGGCAGGCCTCCTGCGGGCAAAAGCTCCAGTCCGTAGCCCCTGCTGGTTTCTGCGGTGGAAATACCCCCGTCCTGCCGGATTTCCAGATGCCAGCATGACGTCGACTAGCCGTAAAGCTAAAAGACAAGGTCCTGCTCTGTCACCCAGACTTCAGTGCAGCGGCATCATCATAGCTCACTGCAACCTTGAACTCCTGGGCTCAAGCGATCCTCCTGCCTCGGCCTCCCGAGTAGCTGGGACTACAGGCGCCACCACCATGCCCGGCTAATTTTTCTATTTTTTGCAGAGATAGCATCTCACTACGTCGCCCAGGCTGGTCTCGAACTCTTGGGCTCAAGTGATCCTCCAGCCTCGGCCTGCCAAAGTGCTGGCCAAACTACGTACTTACACAAGTGGACGCAGACGTCCTTGCGTGGCTGACTTGTTTGACTCAGCGTAATGTCCTCAGGCTTCACCCATGGTGTAGAATGCGTCAGAATTCCCTTCCTTTTTACATACATATATTTTTAGGTTTTCAAACTGACTGGTGTTCTTTTCCCATTGCACCCTACGTGTGTTTCCATGTTGTTAACATTTCCATTCACTTTACCACTCGGACACTGTCTCCAGGAGGCACTGGGAAGTTTGATGACGATGTAGATTTGAAGTTGCCCATACAGTTCTTTGTCAGGAGAAGATGGAAGGTGATACGGTGAGATGCCCACATGGGGGCTCTGAAAACACACCTGCTGGAGTTTGCACCTGTGCTCTCACACCTGGCCAGCTGGTGTGCTTGGCTGGGTGACTGTGACTGTCTGTGCCTCCCGCACCTGTCGGTGGACTGGGACGATGACAGTAGCGTCTGCCCCTTGAGGTCGCTGGGTTGCTGGGCACCCGGGCTGGGGCTTACTCAGGGGGTAGCTAGTCATTTTATTTCCAAATTAGAGGGGGCAGTGACGTGCCCATGTAGCGTAGCACGGATGAGAAGCTAACGAGTCGGGATGGAACCGTAGCCGAGGTCTAAGAAGGGCTGGGTCAGCGCGCAGCAGAATGAGTGAGAAGGTTCTGCCAGGAGGGTAGTTCTTGCTCCCTTGGTTTGGGGAGGAAGGACGCTATGTATAGATAGGGTGCTGTCATTGAGAGATTACTCTGAGAAAGGGACGTGCTTGGGACAGCTTGATGTCCTCACTGCTCCCTTTTGAGGAACGTTCTTTGGGCCAGTCCGCCATGAGACCACCTGCCCGTAGGCGCATCACGTCTGCTCCTCACTTCATCCCCTCTCCCCGGGCTGGGGAGCAGGGGTGAGGCCGTTACGGCAACGGTGGCCGACTCACCCCACTGCCAGAGGAGCCGCTCGCTGTAGTCTGACTTCTTTCCCAAGCTCGGTCACATGACTCCAGAGGGAATCTGAGGCGCAGAACCCAGACCCGTTCCCCCTGCAGTCCAGATGGGCCCCCCAGCCGCGGCCAGCCAGAAATCACAGGGCGCAGCGAGCCGCTCAGCCGGCGCTGGCTGGCTGCGGCCGTGGTGACCACATGGCCTGAGGCAGACCAGCCCCCTCCCCTTGGGCTGGTGACTCAGCTTCACATGTCGAGCCGGGCACCGTGAGACCCGTGTTTGGGAACTCTCACGGAGCTGGCCCTGTAATTTTCTTTCTTCGGTCTTCTTCTCCGAGAGGAAAAATAAACACAGAAGCCTTCGTTTACAAATTTTTAATTAATTCCTGTTTCTCTGTATCCAAGACTCGTGCTTTGCTTTTCTCCGAGACAGACATAAGGAGAAAGTAGGGGCAGATGCTCCTTTCCCGTGTGCCCGGCAAGTCTCAATCACACTAAACAGGGTCTTTTAACGCTCGGAGACGCCGCAGCATTGATGCGTGACAGCCGAGGTGCACGTTAGCCCGGTAACCAGGGCCACTGAACAGAGACAGTTTGCGTTTCGTCTCCACTTCCTGCAGTTGCCTACCTTCCCTGGAAGCTTGAATCAGTGGTGACAGGCCAGAAAGGAAGATAGTAGAGGAAGACAGAATGTGAAGCAAATTGTTAGAACCAGGCACCCAGTGTCATCAGTGCACTTTTATTGAGCAGCTACTATGCAGATGCAAAAGGGTTAAGACACAGCTCTCACCGTCCTGCTTACGGTTAGCACCTGTGTAAGGAGCCAGGTGCATCATAAAGGCAGGTAAGAACATAGATTCGGGGCACGGATGCTCGTGGAGTGACGCAGGAGGACTCGCCATAGAAGTTTGGAGGCGCAGCCAGAATAGAAACTGAGCCTGTCGGAGACGAGGAATGACCTGGCGGGGCAGGGCGGGGGCCGCAGGGCACCTGCACGGCGCCCAGCGTAGAATGAGCCAGGATGCAGGGATGAGGGCCTCGCCGTCTGCTTTGCTCCTTCCTCATCTACGCTGAACTCAACAGAAAATAGCTACAGGTCTAAGGGGAAAAAGCCAAATATCCGTTTTTAAAGTGTTTAAGGCCACCCGAACACTTAACCTTTTTAAATTGGAGGATTCAGAATAAGTTCTCCAGCAGTCACCCTGCTTCTCGGTCCTTTCCTTCACCTGGACGTCACACACAACCCGGACAGAAGCAGGATCGTCCGGGAGTCTGCACAGTGCATGCGACCTGCCAGGCACGACGGACGCCGCCTGGGCCCGCGTCGTGCCTGGGACAGGCCGGGCCGTGTTTCCCAAGGCGGCAGGTCGCAGTCCTGGGTGCCTGTGACGAGGGGCTGGGGGGGGCGAGCTGCGTCATTACTTCTCCGAGCCGTTATCTCTGTCAGTGTTAGTGGGTTGTCGGCGGCCAGTGCTGGGGCTGAGATCATTAAGTCGGATGCCCCGGGGCCTTGTCTCGCGCAGGTGCCCAGGGCACAGCCTGAGGCTCCGTGTGCCGCTCAGGGACGTCGGCCTCTGCCAGGGCACGCCCCCCGGCACTTGTGTTTCTCTGCGAGGTGCCGCCGGAGCAGGAGGAATGAGTTTTCACACGGCCTCCGCGGCCGTCGCTGGCTTGTCATGCTCCAGAACACACGTGTTTGTTCTTCTCATGCCACGGCCGTCATCTTCAGCGAAGGAGAGGGGTGGGCTGAGTCAGGAGCCTGGGGTACCAGAAACGCAAGGCATCCACATCCTTCTGGATTTTAGCAGCTCCTTGTTTTTGCTATCCACGATGGGAAGACGCAGAACTGCAAGCTCAGCATCAACTAGGAGAAATGGCCGAGAGTAACTGTTGAGTGGGGAAACGGGCAGCGGTGCGGCGTGTGCACCACGTGGTCTTTGGCATGTGAGTGCTGGGAGGGCACGTATCGAAGTGTTGCCTGTAGCTAAAGAAAACAGGGAATTCCTTCCCGGGTTGCCTCCTGCGCTTTCTAAGTTTTCCGCGGTGAACGCGCATTGCTTTGAGACGTAGAATGAACAGTCCTTGGCATCGTTAGACCTGAACCCCGACCCCCGCGCGGCACCCAGGCGCAGGCGGCGGGCGGAGGGGGCGACTGGCTCCTCGCCCTGAGCTGGCCTGCTGTCTCTCCTCAGGAAAAGCCGAGGGGGACGGCAAGATGCACATCACCCTCTGTGACTTCATCGTGCCCTGGGACACCCTGAGCAGCACCCAGAAGAAGAGCCTGAACCACAGGTACCAGATGGGCTGCGAGTGCAAGGTAAGCTGGCCCCGTCGCCACGGTGACTGCAGTTCTGGTCCCGGCTTCCCAGGGCCTCTCACTCCACTGGGTTCTGGGAAGGGACGGCCCCTGCCCCGCACCCAGGAGCAAGGCTGTCTAGCAGGGGTGTGGAGGTGGGGGACAGAGCCTCTGGCTACCGGTCCCCGGACAGCCCTGAGCCGCAGCTCTATCAAGGGATAACTGGGAGGTGACCGAATTTGAGGGTGAACACACAAATCCGCCCATGTGGCCTGTAGCTTCCAGAAAAAGGCATTTCATGGGGAAAACACAGGGCTGTCAGTATTTTTCTACAGACCTACGAGTGTGCAAACACTTGTGTGCCTTGTGAGAGGGCACCGCGCCCCGCGGCGGCCCCGGTGCTGGCGCTCGGACGGGCTGCGGGCGTTGAGGGTGCCTCGGGGCTCGGGCCATAAACCGGCCACCACCACCATGCCCACCCAGGAGCACTGCCGAGCAGCGGGCACCCAGGAGTGCCCCAGGAGCACTGCCGAGCAGCGGGCACCCAGGAGTGCCCCAGGAGCACTGCCGAGCACGGGCACCAGAGTGCCCGCGGAGCAACTGCCGAGCAGCGGGCACCCAGGAGTGCCGGGAGCACTGCCGAGCAGCGGGCACCCAGGAGTGCCGGGAGCACTGCCGAGCAGCGGGCACCAGGAGTCCCGGGAGTACTGCCGAGCAGCGGGCACCCAGGAGTGCCGGAGCACTGCCGAGCAGGTACCACAGGAGTGCCCGGAGCAACTGCCGA